TGAGAAGGGAGAGGGGAAGACGGCCGTTGATCGGCGAGGAGGAGAGAGGGAGTTTAGGGTTAGGAAAATGATTGTTCTTTATTGATTGAATAATAAACTCATGCATAATGGATACATATATAGATGGTTGATCTAAAGAATCCTAGCCATAAAAGATAACTAAATAAATTAAAATACTAATAACCTAATATAATAATACTTCCTAACAATAATGAAATTATCTAACCATAAATAATAATAATAATAGTAATATAATAAGAATGATAAATAACTAAATATAGTCATGTATCACGAAGCTTGGGTGAATAGCAACCATTTGGGAGTACCCTAACATGATCCATTTTTCTTATAGAAATTATCCAAAATAGGAGTAAAACAAATTTTATTCCCAAAATAGAAAAAAATATGTTTTTATTCTAAAAATAAGATTATTGCATTATAAACATGTCATTGTATATTGGTATTCTATATTTGTAGTATTTTATGGTATTATATGTTGGAGTATTGACATTATAAAATCTTAATTCGGGATAAAAATACGAAAACTTGTTTAAGTCTTTTTAAAAACTTTACTCTTATTTTAGTTTTTATCCCTATTTTTATGTATGTTTCCATTTCTTTTTAATGTCTTAAATACTTTTTTTCAAATTAATTTGTGCTGGTTAACCTCACGGAGATTAAAAAAGATGCTGGCAACATTTTGAATAATAACGTTAGTGATAGCAATCTCTTTAAAAGAACAAATTTAAGCCCCCTATTCCTTTTGAAAGAACAAATCTGGTAAAATAATTCTCACATCAAGCAAATTCTAACTATTCACAATATATTTGTGAAAGAAAGAGAACAATATCCTATGATGATATAAAAGAGAAGCGGGAAAATTTCTATGAGACAAAGGCAACGTTTCGTTCAACTTATTGTTTCTGCTTATTGCTTATCTTATTAAAATCAGATAAGATCTAATTAAATCAGATCAGATCTAATCATATTCTGTAAGACCAGATCTAAACCAAATTAATATTATTATTATTATTATTACCATTATTATTAGTATTACTATTACTATTACTATTAATATTATGATTATTATTACTATTGTTATAATTATTATTACTATTATTATTACTATTATTATTAGTATTATTATAATCATTATCATTAATATTTCTATTGTTAATAATATTATCTCTATTATTATTATTATTATTATTATTATTATTATTACTATCATTATTATTACTATTATTATTAGAGTTAGTATTGTTATTACTATTATTATTGTTGTTTTGTTGTTGTTGTTGTTATTATTATTATTATTATTGTTATTATTATTATTATTATTATTATTATTATTTCTATTATTGCTTTCATTATCAATATTTCTATTATTATTATTATTATTATTATTATTATTATTTCTATTATTCTAATTATTATTACTATTACTATAACTATAATAATAATTTTATTTTAATTTCAATCAAATTTATATCGGATCAGAGGTCAGACCAGATCAAATCAGATCAAATTCAATTTTATCAGAAGCAATCAGATTAGAACTTCAAAAAATCATATCAGATCAGGCGAACGCAACGCAGCAAAAGGAGTCTTTTAAATAATCCTCACATCAAACTAATTCTAACTACTCACAATTTATTTGTTTGAACGCATGAAATCGGTAAAAATTGAATATCCAAACAATGAAGTAACCTAACTTTTTTCATGGGCAATAGTTTAACGTACAAAGTCATATTAAGAAAAATAATTAAAGAAAAAGAATATTGGTGTATCGATAGTAATATTTGGAGTGCCATTATCACTTCACCAAATTATGTACTCCGTATATTTTGGCTATTTGGTTGGAATCGCCTCATCCTCGTCATCCTCATATTCCAACTCAATGTCATACGGAGTATCAATTTTTCCTATTTTATCTTCATTCAAGATATGAATTCTCATTCCATCATCATCCTTTTTTTAAACGGACTTTTGTTTTTAAGTACTTTTATAACATTTCATAGTAATTTTTTTTATTTTTAAAATTTATATTAAACATTTCATTAGTAATAAATAATTTTGTTAACATTTCATTTAATTTTTTTTAAATTTTAATAATGAATTTTTCCAAAACCTTAAATTACAAACAAAAATTATTGTGATTGTAATTTTTCCACTTATATATATATATATATATATATATATAGATTTTGGTTCTGGTGAGAATGCAATCTTAGGAGAGAAATAAGAATGAATCTGGTGCTTTAAATTGCGAGATCTAAGGGTCAAGATTTCATCAAAATTAGATGCACCAAAATGGTGCGAAAATGCATCACGTCGAAATGCACCATAAACCTTTGAAATGCAGTATCTCAAAATCTGAGCGCAGGATGCAATCTGAGCCGCACGATGCATCAGATCCGACGGCTAGATTTTATTCTCATTTCTCTCCACAATGTGCATTCTCACGGGAACCGGCCCCTATATAGATATATATATATATATATATATATATATATATATATATATATATATATATATATATATATATATATATATATATATATATATATATATATATATATATATATAAAACAAAATTAATGTGATTGTAATATTCAAAACCTTTAACCCGAACCTTTAAGTCAAAATTATTGTTTAACCTTACACGTTAATATCAAATAGAACCCCTCATTGATACCGAAGTATATATCATCTTTGACGTATATTACTCATCCTTCCACAACATCCTCAAATACGATTGTTTGTGTTTGGAAGTGAATCTGGTAAGTTTCCATACCTTTTTAAAAAAAGTTTTGTAACTTACAATTTTTTTTAAAAAAAAAAACTTTTGGGAAAGTATGTTCTTTTCTCTTGAGCACGTGTGGCATGACTTAAAAAATTTCAAGGACGAAATCTTTATCTTTATTTATAAAATTTGAGAATTGAATTTCTAAAATTGTGACATGTGGCGTGCTTATTAGGCAAGTTTTTTGACATGTTAGCAAGTAATATTTTTTGAATTAGCTAACAAAAAGACTTATTATGTGGAAGTTAAATATCATATTTGTTTCGCACAAGTTCCTCAGCCTAATCACATATAAAAAACTATTATATCTTAATTCATCATTGGAGAACATTTAAATTAAATAATTTATTTTGAGATTGAAAAAAGGAACTCATATTCAAAAACAATAATGAAAACAAATAAATTTATTTTAAGAACCGATGTATGACTAAAACAAATTACATGTGAATATTTGTTTTTTGCTTTGAGTTAATACTAATTGGAGAGATTTTTCAATATTGGAAAAAGGAAACTAATATTTTAAAAGGAAAGGGATTTTTATAGGCATACTTTTATAAGAGATTTAATTTTACTCTGTATATATTTTAAAAATTCTAAGTCAAACAATAAGTTTATTCCAATTTAAAATTAGTATTTTTCATTTTAAAAGTATTATTCTCCATTAGGGTGTCTTATATGAAGCTATGAAGAGAGGTGATACTAAGTCAGCAGCTATTAGCCAATGAATTATCATATCATCTACATTCACTAAGGGAACGAAATATATATATGTTTAACAACTGACAAGATGTAACAGCTATTTGCAAAATTTCAAATGCAATATTACTATTATTGGGTAGATCTTATCAAGAGGTTTCAATAATAATGGTGGTGGTGATGACGATTATGATGCACCACAATAACTTTTACAACGATTAGTGTCATAATTTGACAACAAGGACTTCGCACTACGGTGCTCCATTTGAAAAATTGATAGTTTCTACTTTTCTAAACCCCTTCTAACAGGCTAACACCCGCCCTAGGACCCCTGCCCCACTCCCAAAAATGCCGAATGGCAACAGAAAATTGTTGTCAATTGATGTTTTGAAGAGGGATGCTGGCTGGGGTTTAGGGGAGGTTAAGAGTGTAGGAATCATATGGGGTAATAATGAAGTTATAGCTGTGTACCCAGTGCTTTGATCTGAACCACAATTTACATTATCAAATACCAACTATAGATCACAAATACTATATCCATTTTGTGCATAAATGCATCTGTTTTTGAGCCAATATAACAACAAATCTATAGATACCATCGATGTACAAGTGAGATAGCTCATGTATATAGATCACATACCTAGCAGCAACCTGCCGTCTGTGTGTCAAACACACTGTTCACAAGTGATGCGCACAGGTTCTGGCCCACACTGCCTGGATAAAAAACACCCAGCAGTAGATGGTTGGTGTTGCAGTTTGAGTTTACAAAAGTCATTATTGGTTACAAGTTACAATTGCTGATAATTATGATCATCTGAATTTTCCTCTGAAATTCATTACTTAGGAAGACCTGCGAAACCTCCATTTAACCGGCTGAATACTAGCTTTACTGGGATACAAGCAATCCCAGTGGGCACAGTATCTTCTTTCATCAACCCATTTGCTTGGAATATTTGTTTCAGATCACTCTGTTTCTGTTGTGTGGAAATGGATGAAAGAGTTCTTATCTTCTTCTGATGATGATGATGATTACAAGACAAACTAATTCTTTTAGATGTCTTTCTAGATAATGTTTTCACTGTGCGAGGAAGGCGGGAAATGTTCTTCCTTGTCATTCTCGGTTTCTGCCCAGAACTATCAGTGGCAGCTAGGGGTTTGGTGATTTTGGTACCATCCAATCCTGATGATAAAATAATATTAGGCCGTGGAACTCGGACACCAGCTGTCCTTCGGGCAGTCCTCCATACAAGTTGCAGTGAGCTATCATTTTCAGGGGAAACATCAGCCACACCTAAGGAACTTTCAAAAGCACAATTCTCGTCAAGAGCTTCAACTGGGATAGGGTGCCCAACTATTGCCTGTCCATTATTTACCTTACTCATTAATGAAATCATAGGCACTCTCTGCCTATGGTAACTTACTTGCACTTTCAAATCCACATCTACCAACTTTGACCCATTAATTATGAGCTGCTCAACTGGCGCCTCAGATGTTTTAAGGAATGAAGTAACTTTGCTTCTGCCACCGCAACTACCCTTACCTGAAGTGGATCTACCAGTCATATTATTGGCTGTCCTGAAACGATTTGCCTCAAATGCATCAAAAGACCTCCTCACAACATTCCGATTATTCCTTTTTCCTTTAAGTTTCCATTTTGAGATCCCAGCACCAGCAGGGACAGTGTTGTAATCAAGTGCAGGGCGACAATCAGCAACTGAAACGTCATCAAGCTCTTCACTATGTGTGCTTCCATGTTCAGCCGGTGCTTCAAATCTTCCAAAATATTTAGGTTGTAATTCAATAGAAGCAGCACTTTCTGTACTCTCAAGTAATTAAAATTTAGAAGAAAAGAAAAATAAGCTAGGTAGTTTAGTTGGTAATAAAATTTAGAGCAAAATGTTGTTCAAAAACTAAAATAATAAATCAGCAGATGGTCCTCAGGTTAATAAGCTAGGTAGTTTGGTTGCTAAAAGATCTTCTTCGTTTGACTTTCAGGAAGTTTAAGAAAAGTGTTGAAAAGTGAACCAGATGTGGTTAGAATTTGATAAGAGAGAAAATTTTTGAGCCACACATTCTCTTCTTAAAAAGGAAAGTGAAGTTTATTTGGGTACCAAGATGTGGGACCTTCTACTCCTCAGGGGGGGTCCTACGGGTCGGTCCCGTCCCCCTACCTGCAGACTCAGTTCCGTCGGTTCCATCATTACCCAATTCAGTCAGCTGGGGGGGATTCCGAATCGTCACACCCTACGGTGAGCCAACAGGGTGGTATTCCCGGAGAGAATGAGCCGGGACCTGCCGACGGTGGGGAAGCAATCCATCTGACGCGCAATTGAAAGAGAACTATCTAAACAAAAACGACAAGCCCCCGGGAGCCTGATCGATAGTATAGGGAGTATAGGGGAAGAGATTGGCATAGCCCAAAGTAAGAAGAAAGATCTTTTAGGGAGGAAGGGAGTATATAATTATATATATACATGAGCACCCATGTAACAATGAAAAATGTTGTAAATTAAAATATAAAATTAATAATGATAATATTATCATTATTATATTTATTATTATTATTATTATTATTATTATTATTATTATTATTATTATTATTAACAACAACAACAACAAAAATGTGATACTATACCTGAGAATATAGTCATATCAGCGTCTCTATCTGAAACTTGTGAATCGCTCTCAGGGGAATCCGTTTCAGTACATTCTGTAGATATGGAAGTATTCTCTTCACATAAAACACCATGTTGAGGAACCATATTCCTTTCAAAATTTGGAGCTAATATCTCAATCTGAGGGGAGAGATCAACAATCCTCTTGCTACTGGAAACATCTCTAGATTCAGATGCTACTAGGTTAGTATACCTTGCCTTTTTCATACGGACTATTCCAGATTGCTCATCCCCTAAAACAGACGTGAAATGAAAACTCGAATCAGGCTGAAGATAAGAAGACACTGGAAACTTTTCACTATTCTGCAATACTTGAACAAGTTGTTTGTGCTCATCATGCCTCTTAATAACCATTCTGTCTTCGGCAAACATATTCTCTTTACCTCCATTAACTATGACTTCATCTCTAGGACTCCCGTCAATAAGAAAGTTGCTGCGGGGGACATCCAAGAAGGCACCAATTGAAGAAACAGGAAATTTATCCTCACAAGGGACTGGGCACAGACCAACATCCTGCAAAGCTCTCATCTTGAGAAGTACTCTGGAATGATCATCCATGCTTACTGGGTTTTCCTTTTGAGCTATGCTCAAAATATCAACGATGTTCTTACCCATAAGAGATAGCCCATCTGCTTCAGAAGTTAGGTGAGATTTTAGGTGGAAATGTTCTCCTTTATGATTTTCTGATTGTAGGAATGGTGTCACTGCCTCTCTTCTTAAAATGTCATCGGATGATTTGTCAATCTTATTGTTTATGTCCCCGTATTTTTTTCCAACTAGTTCCTTCTCAAGTTCAAGCGCATGAAGTATTGCATCTTCACGACGTGCATATTTCTCCCTTTTCTTAAGAGGCACACCCAAAGAAGCTTCAGCTCGTTCAATACAGTCATTGAACTCGCCACATCTAAACGCCTTCACACGTTTTGACTTCTCCAAATTATACCAATCCCTGGAAAAGAGCACAGCAACAAATGGGACAACAAAGCATGACCCAAAGAACCCAGAAACAGGTTAAAATTTCTTTTAGAGAAAGTATTACTTCAAGAAGAAAATTATTGATGAAATAAGATTAAAATTTCCTATAAAACCCTTTTGAAGCATTAGCAGAGTTCATTAATCCACTACAGCAGTTCTAGCCATTTTCTATTTTAGGATACATTTCTTCACTACAAATAAGATTACAATACCTAGTTTCGAGTAAGGACAAAGTCTACATACACACCCTCCCCAGACTCTTGTGGGATATAACTGGGTTTGTTGTTGTTCTTCTTCATTAGAAATACTATTAATATACCTAGTTGCTAGCTAAAAGCAGGGAGTTCTGAAGATTGTCCCTTAATGGGTTCTAATTATGTGTTACTCGTCTCATTTCCAATTATGATATTCAAGACTTACATCAAAGTACAGTTCCTAATGCTCAGGTAGGTGAGGTAGCATTCAATTATATAAAACGTCAAAATTCAATTAGAAAAACTGATGGATGTCTTTACAGAAATACATGTCTACTGAAGTATACATCCTACGATAGGAGAAAAATACCTATCCTTAAAATTAAAGCGTGTGAAAGTTCTATCCAATCAAAATTCACATCAGTAAGTGTAACAACAAACAAATGCTCTACTTCATTCACAATGTCATGAAAGAGAAAAACTAAACACAGTAGAGTGAGAACAACTTACACACTGGCATCCTCCCTCCCAAGAAGCTTTACGGGAGTTCCTGATCGCGGAGACATCACATGAGAAGCAGAGAGCTGATCAACCCCCAAAATTTTACCTGGCCACCATGACCCATTCCTCCTTCGGACCCAAACAATACTCCCAACACCACAACCAACCATTCCTTGTTCCATTTTTGAGCTCCCCATCTCTTCCCACCAAACACACACACACACACTACAAACAATTACGATACAGAAGTATCTGTCTGCACATCTACACACGTATATATTGATAAAGTACAACAATCATTTCACTATACTGCAATGAATGTTTTTTCCAATAAATTTTATTTAACGCAAATGAGAACTTAATTACGCTTAAAGCGGGAAGATAAAGAGAGCATACACATACAAACACTGTAGATAATCGGGGAGGGACGATTTAGGGTATTGATTAATCATCCTCCAGAAAAGAAGACAGTGAAGTGCAGAAAGGCGGGTTTGGAATATCGGAATGTACAAATTGGGGGTAGGGTTAGGGTTTCCATTCAGAATTGCCGAAAATTCATAGCTAGAGGCCAAATCAAACAAATAGACCCGACTCAGGCGTTGACCTTTTGAGTAGAGAAATCGATTTAGGGTTCAGATGCATCATTTGGGGGTGGCATTTGCATCTATGGCTGTGTGATTTTCTAGTCGAAAGAAAGGATCCCTTCCCTGGTGTTGACTTACTACAGTAACTATTTGTTCAGTGTCTCGGACCATAACTATTTATTCATTTTTTTATTTTTTGCAGTTAATCATTTTTTATTTTGACATATACTCCGTAACTAAATTAAATTTATAAACTACATTTATATTCCCTCAGACTCATATCTTTCTTAAAGTAATATTCCAACTTCACAAGAATTTTTATTTATTTGTATTGTTTTATGACCTATATGATAAAATAAAATATTTTGGTCATCACTTGATTTATTTAACTTTTAATGTTGTTTTTAAATATGTAAATTTTATTCTTTATTTCTATACAAATGTTTAAATAAAATAGATTGAAAAAAGTTAGAGTTTTCTTCATTTTACGGGAAGGAAGATATGGGACGGAGGATAAGATAAAATAATATTTTGAAAATACTACTATATAAAGAAAGTTTGTTTAAATACTATATAAGATAAAAGCACATTTATTTACGAAGTAATTAACAATCAAAATTTGTCAATTTTAATTGTAAAGACTCAAAACCTGGACAAATACTTAGGGAAGGATTTATAGTGAGAATCCTCACTATACATCAATTTTACAACTTTACAGTTACAATGCATTAACTTTACAGTCAGAATTCATCCCAAGATATTTACCAAAAACTGTTGGAAAGTTGAATAGAGGAAACTAAGAACACCGCGGAGCAGCGTTAACAAAGAACGAGAAGAACAACTTTAGTAATAACATTGACCTTTTCGTTATTTGTTAACGCTGCTCTGCCGCGTTCTTTCTCCATTCAACTTTCCAACAAAGATCAAAGTTATTTCAAGGTATACGAAAGAGTTTAATCGGATAATACGTTGATCAAGAAAAAATATGAAAATCGGAAGCCTCAAGACCCAATTTCAGTGCTTGTAGGTATTGAGGCACCGTAGGAACAATCAATTTTACGATCGGAGCACCGTAGGTATTCCAATTTAATTGGTGTAACGATGTTACACCAATTAGGTTAGTTATATATATAGTGTCATGCTCAAGTTTTCCCTTAATTGTTTTGTGAAGAAGTCAATATATGTGTAGTCTTCTTTCTACTCACCCAACTTTCATCTCTACCATTTGTAGGTTCACCGATTGCGAATACGGTTGCCAAACTGGTGGGACTCGAAGAGAGAATGGAGGCATTGTTGCGGCTGTCAAGAGAAAAGGGATGATCTTCCATTGTTTTTTATTTGTGTGGTGAAGAACTTTGTTAGGTTAAATGGACTTCTTACTTATTTTGCTTGTGTATTTGGGAATGGTAGTTTTCCTCCTAAAATAGTTACTCATACTTTCTCGTGCCACGGCAGATCACACGGGGGAGGTAGTGAGGCATTACACGCCTAGTCTTCATGAATTTGGATTTCATATGAAGTAAAGATTAGTCGCATTCATACATATATTTACATAAATACTCCTGAGGTTCTTACATTTTTCTCAAATACAACGAGCAAAAAGTACTGAGTGAAACAACTTTTTTTACACTAGCAAGTTACGTAAGCTAAGCTTCTGCAACTTTTTTCAAGATCACAGTGGCGTAATTACTAATTGTTGGTTCTGGCGACGGGTGGAGCTGTCGGATTACCGGAAAAAGCTCCGATGAACGGAGAAACTGTCGGCAAGGCGGATGTGCGCACATCTTTGCCAGTGAGAAGAGTGCAATTTTTAGAGGTGATTCGTGTAACGAATCTTTTCTGCTCGGGTTCAGAGCTAGGACTGCATAATCGGCTATCAACTTCAGTAGAGCCTGAAAAACAACAGAGCAAAAAAGAACACCAAAACTTCATATGAAGTATTTTCATAAGAAAGCAAGGGAAACTTAATGTCACTTTGATATAATCTACTATTTAACAGAAGTTAAAACATTGCCAAATGACTACTTTAGCCCCATTGGCAATGGACAAAGAAAATCAGTAGATGAATTGAGTGATTAAACTAGAATGCAAGGTAGTGACCTCTTTGCCTTCATTTTAGAAATTATTTTTGACTTTTTAAAGATAATTTGGCACATTAAGCCAATTCAGCCACAACAAGAGCAAATTCAGCTCATTCAGCTGCTTCAGCCATATTCAACAAATGGGCTCTTAGTATTATTTTGTTTAGGCTGAATGTGCCCATAATAATTCTGAATTAAGTCATTTTATGATGACTATAATGCATATATTCACCTGGATAGCTCCTTTGGAAATAATGTCTTCACAAAGCCTGTTTGAGTTACGGACAAGATTACTGAGTGCCCCAGCAGCATTAGCCTTGGTTTTATCTTCCACGGCAGAAAGAAGCAAACATGATAGCTGAGGGATGGCTCGTTTGAGCTCATCATACAATAAATCACTATGATAAGCAGCATTCCCAATCTAAATGTGGAAGAAAAGACGAAAATGTTTTATGAGATGCCCTATGAATTAAGAGAAATTTTCAGAAAACATCTGATAAAACAATGAGAACTTACAGCAAAGCAAGCAAATTTCTGTGTTCTCTTGTCTGAATCGTAGCTTCTATCTATGAGGAGACTGATAATTTGATGTTGTCCCTAATTGGTGACCAGTTCATATTGGGTAAAAAAGAAAGCATAAGATAAAGTTCTTATTTGCAGAAATTTTTTTTTAAGAGAATAGACTACAACTACTCCCTCTGTCCCAAAGTATTTGTCTACTTTCCATTTACACTGTGTTTGGTTCAAGGAATCTAGAAGGAAAAGAAAAGAAAGTGATTTTCTCTCATTTCCCTCACCAAAATGGGAGGATTTGATTTTCCCTCCTCTGAGTACATTTTTCCATCTCATTTTCTTTTCCACTCTAATCAAACAGAGAAAAAAGGTTTTCCTCCTATTTTCTTTTCCTTTCCCTACCAAAATCAACAAACCAAAAAGTGTTAAAGAAAAGATATAAAGTGACATTGACTTAATTGCCTCACTACTCTAACTCCCCCCCCCCAAAAAAAAAGTAAATGTAGAGGCATAATATTCACTTCCTTCTCTCTTTTCCTTTTCCTTGGTCCATGTGCCAAAAAGGTGGATAAATACACTGGGACAAAGGCAGTACATGATTGGTCTCTTACCAGTACATCATAAAAATAAGAGCTATGCCGACACATGTTCCCTATTGCACTGCATGCCTTCGCGCGAACATTAGGATCTTCATGGGTCAAGAAATCCTTCAAAAAGCCCATGATATCTGCTGCATCTATGAACTCATAGAAATCCTGCTTCAATTTTGAAATCAAACTGAGAACGCATATCTAGCTCCCTAAGAAGCCGTGTATGTTTTAGTTTATACTCTCTCATTCGGTCGGTTTCCTTGTTTGACCCTCTCAAAATTCTCACGTCTTTGGTTTAAAAATGGTTGCAGAGTAGAATGAGGATATAAAATAGGGCCAGAGGGAGTAATAATTGCCTCCTCTGTTCCAAAACAGTCACTTGAGCCAGAAGTATCAGTTTCAAATATTAGCACAAGGCAACCAATTGCTTATTTTCCACAATTATCATCCGTCAATAAATGCTCCATAACACTTCATATATTTTTATTTAATGCATTGATTGATATGAGTACTCTTCATATTGTAATTTATTCATCTTCATTTTAGATAGACAAAAACTACTCCGTATCTACCTAACTGTGTTTCACTTGGGAGCGGAGGAGGTGGTTTTTACCTTGTCCATGCGAGCTAACTCCGAAACAATCATCAAAACATCGAGCAGGACTTCTTTGGGGCATGAAGCACCAAGCAACCACTTCATTCTCCTTGGATCTAAGAGACCTTTTCCCAAAAGTTGAGAAGCAAGAGATCGTTGACCCACCATTTTTGCAATAAATGCAATAGGCCTTGCAATATCTTTTAGCTCCATATGTTCCAAACACCCAAGAATAATAGATGGAACTCCTACCTACACAAGCAGGACAAAGCTAACAAACATCAATTAGGGTGAGTTATTTCCAAAAATATCACTGTAACTCTGTAAGATACCCATAAGCTAACTCAAGTTAAAATGTTTGGGGGAACAGTTTCTTATTGGCATGTAAAACCTCAAAGGATAGTTATTTGAAACGTGATCCTCCACTGGCTGACAAGAATTAATTGGGAAATGAGAACTATAAGGCTGACCTCCACTAGGATTTGGATGTACTTCCCCATGTGTGTCTCGATTGCTTTAACCATGTCTTTGTCTTCAGGACGAACTCTTCCACCAGGTGAGCCCATGTTGAGGAGAAAACCACTGTTCACCGAAGCGGTAGCAGATGGCAATCCTTGAACATTCTGAATAGCAACAAAAGGAAATGCCAAGAGATCAATTACTGCATTTATTGTATCTCTAGCACCATCCTTCCCTCCACCAAGGCCACTCCAACTTCTAACAAGTTTGAGATGTGTGTCTGATATTAAATCAGATATGGCCCTCACATGCACCGTCTTAATCAATATTAGACGGAAGGTAGATACTCCACCAAATAGGCACTGACATATTGAAGATATGCTCCAAACAACCCCAACAGGCGACATTCCGTAAGAGTTACTTGTTAACAAATCAATAAGAAGTTGAGGAACACCACTTCCACATGACTGCTGCACTGCCATTGGTCCTCCACACTTCAATCGTGATTCCAACAATCCAACACATCCATCTCTTAGACCATGCCAATACGAGAACATTTGGTTAAAAGTCTCCAAATTCATTCCATCTTTTTCAATTGCAAAGGCCTTCATGTAATCACAAAGCTTCGCCGTTCGAGGGATTAGGGACAAAGCTAGGTCAGATTTAGATATCCCTACAGAACTGTCAGCCTCAAGTGACAAGATGGATGCGAGAGCTAGCATCGCGGATGCACAATGAGGTTGACATGATTGTTGTGCGTCAGATGAGAAATGGTAGGCAAGTACAGAGATCCGTGATTGTTGTTTCTTGGATGATGCAGTGAGCATAAATGATGCAGAACTTCTTCCAGAGAATTTCAAAGATTGTGCAATAGTTGCAACAAAAAGGCATGAGTATTGAACTAAGATCCCTGGATTAGTTAGCTTGAACTTGGGAACTTCGCCTGATGCGTCCTTATTTGAAGAAGCACAAAAGGATAGTATAGAGAAGATCTCTGAAATGATAGTATCATCCCCTCCTCCACTAACAACAGTAGTAACAGGAAGAGAGCTTGGTAGACCACAAAGAACATTAGCAACAACTCCACTGTGCAAGCAACACCTCATGACAAGCTGAAAATGCAAGTCCATTAGATTATACTCTTGGATTGTGGTGAGACATAACTGTGCTATGATATATCATTGTGGAAATACACAAACGGATGATGCATGCTTAACTATCTTAAGATATCAACCAATTTGAAGGTAGAGAAAGTTCTGTAAGTCAGACAACCTTTCAAAACTTGGCACTCATCTCTAATATCATTATATTTTTAGTTTTGCCACCTTTTCCCTGGGTACTTGAGAATGATGCTACTTTATTCTTATTTATTCTGAAGATATAAGAATATGAATGAGACAAGTATGCAATAGCCTTACAAGAGCTTGCAAAGTTTAGAAAAATATAGGCCATGTTCGGAGATCATAACAGGTATTCCCTCCGTCCAAAATTAAATCACATGTTTCAGTTTACAACATTTGACTGGAGTTTTTTCCAAATCATTTTATTTGAGGATTGGGGTGGAATTAAAAAATAAAAATACATATTTAAAATCTACATCAAAAGTTCTACAAAACAAAGGTGACATGACTATAATATTTTATCAAATGAGTAACAAAAATAGGTAAAGAATTAATGAAGTTTGACCCTGTAAATAGTGAAAAGGAAACTTAAATTGGGACAGTTTGAGTTTGCAAGATGCTGATCACTTATTCCACTAATGCTCCTTTACTAACAAATTCTTGCAGAAGATTTCAGTTTGGATAGGCTACAAGTATGAAGCTGACTCTGTTATTGATATCATTGCTGCTACTCTATCTGGAAGGCCAAAAATAAAAAAGTCCATGGAGGGGAGGAAATCAGGATTCAGCATATTACTAGTGAAATCAAATGTTATACTAATACTTTTATTCATATGAAATCTGGAGTTCAGTAGAGGGTTTACTTATGAGTAGATTTCGTCTGATGTATGTAATGAACTAATGATTGGACTATGCTTGATTTGGTTTAATAATTTTTGCATTGGGTTACAAAAAAAACTTTGATTGGGACAGAGGGAGTATAAGTTAGGATATCTGAGAAATCCTATTCTTTTCGCATGTTTAGTGAACCATAAAAGGGTTGAGTCTTGATACCTCTTCGCCGGTCTTCATCTCCTCTTCGATCTCCATTTTTTGTGGTGCCATTGCTTATTGACCAAAGCTCTTATCTACCCCACCCTCGTATAGTTTTTTATTTTGTTTTTTGTTTGATGATAACATTTTATTCTTACTAATTTGCATGTAATTTATTCCTTTTAGTTATTATTGTTACTACTTACTTTTTTCAGTACCCACATACCCATCAGGCTACATACTCATTAGTGTAGCATCTGATCGATCTTATTATTGTTACTACTAACTAATTTGCCATTAAACTTGAAACTTTTAGGTACATAAAATATTAGTTTAATCCTTTTAGTAAAACAGATTGCTTAAATGTCAGACACGGCATTCGACAAACAATTTGAGCCTGTTGCCTACAACTAAAATTTATGCTGTTTACATCCATTTATCAACATTCAAGATGACTGATTTAAACAAGTTGAATTTAGATTGCTATTACGCTATAAAGTTGAAAATACCTAAGATAAACAGAAACTACATATGATGCTAACTGGAAATAAATGCGAGATAAAGCATTGCAAAATTGACATAAACTAGAGATATATGAAATAGATACCTGTATTGTGGCACACAAGGAAACCTCAACACGTTGACGCAGGCAACAAAGAAGAGAAAATTGTATGGGTTTGGATCTCAAAAAAGCTTTTGTTACTGCATCAATTATTTTCATTGAATATTTTACAAGCATGGAGTCTTGCTTGCTGTCATCAATGTCCAATCTACGTCGAGAAAGCATCCTCAAAGAATTTAGCGGAAATATATGGTCATTTTCTTTCATAGAAAGTGTTTCAAATGCATCCACTAGTGACCATAAAGCCCTACAGGCTTCACACGCAGCTCGCAGCAAATTTGAAGAGCCAGATATGAGACTAGAGCCTGAAGTTGCTAGACAAACACATAAAAGGTCTGCCAAAACAGAAGATTGATCATGGACTAGAACCTCTTTGACAGTTTCATTCACAACTGAAGGGCTAGTAATCACATCTGGAGTCAATGTTGCAGGAGTAACTTTAAGAGCCTGAGCCACATGACTTAACATGACAGCAATACAACCAGTAGACTCAAACACGGCCCTTCCTGAAGCATCATCCAAGCACTTAAGAACCTGAAGATTAGCATTATAGTTCAAACTCCACAAAAAGATAATGCTTACAATAGATCCAATATAAAAAACCAACCTGTAAATACAAGTCAACCAGTGTCGTGAAGTGCCTGATATAAGATCCTGAAGTGACACCTCCAGTTAGAGCTAAGAACCTTTTGGTAATAGAAAAGCTCTGCATTAGGACAGAAAAAAAACTCCGCTCAAAGAACATTACTTCAAGCATTAAAGAGAACATGGTTGTGAGTAAAATGCATTGTTGCATAGATTTTAATGATTCATATCATATCCAATGCTTAAATATTACTCCCTCCGTCCCCTGTATTTGTCCACTTTCATTTTTACACACCATCCAATGCACTTCTTTAATCCATTTTATCTTGTAATTTGTATATTAAAAAATTATAAAAATTATATATTAATAATCTATATGTTAAGACAAATCAAACAAGATCACACATGACTATATTTAGGCTTACACATTGAGAGAATTTGATGAGTCAAAGTGCTTAGATGAACAGTTCCAAAAGTCAAATGTGGACAAATACAGGGGGACGGAGGGAGTATATCAAAGTTATTAAATATTAATAGCAAAAATATCAAGTGTGTAGTGTGTGTTAGGGCAGAAATTCTACCCATGCTTCTTTTTTTTTATATATTTGCCTAATTCGTCATTTACTGTTTTGTTTGTGGGGTGTCTGCTTCATATACCTTAACAATCAATTCAATACCGTCGGGCGTTTTTAGTTTAATGATAAAAGAAGTGAAGGCAAAAAGTTCGCATATGATTTCTTCAAGAATGCCACTTGAATTTATGGCCCCAGCTGTGACCAAGTTCAAAAGAATTCTCAATGATTGATTTGATGTCACAAGGTCTTCATCCCTGTGTAAAGCATTAATTTTTAAGACACAAAGTAACAAAAGTAATTATAATTACTGGAAATAAGCTCACAACTACCAAAACAAAATAGTCAAAATACTGACATGTCAATTGAGTCTTTCTGATTACAAATATCAAACTGTTATTCAAATAATGAAAATGTTTGTCAAATAAGATATTTACCGGCAAGAATCTGCAGGTCTGTTGAACCAACTTTTTAGTGGAAGTAAAATAATTGCCAATGCTTCATTATTTTCACCAATCATTTTTGCGCCCTTAACTGTCCTGGAGTTGTTTTCAAAGCGGTCTAAAGTCTGGCAACCTAAAACAGTGATATAGCAAGTCAAAGATATCCAGCATGGCGGTGTCAAAATACTTTCTAGCATGATATCCCATTTAACATGCCTTACTTTTCGGTCTTCTGTAAGTATTTTCTAGTTTCATAAATCATAATACAAACAAAAATAATATTCAAAGGTTCAAAACTCCATGACAATGAGCTTTCAACTTATTTTTTAGGGCAACACTTCTAAACCTCATCACTGCATTTTCCATAACAAAAGAGATGAAATAATTTGCATCCCAAAATAATAATATAAGGCAACTAACAATCACGGAGTAATAAATAGATTGTGCTAATTGGGATTCTTATCAATATGTTCAATACACAGTACTGGAAAATGCTTTACCAGAAATTGAGGTAGAAATCATTGTTATCAAATCTACTCAAAGGATCTTTCCGGTCACATAGGAAAAGCTAAAAATGCAAACGAAAGGCCTATTTTCTGAATCAAACATCTAATTTTAAAATACACAAATGATAACTAAATGAAATTAAATACTATATACTTTTACACAAGAAGACTCTTAAAACATAAAAACAGTTATCATTCTGAAATTTAACAAGTGAAGTAATACAACAACCCCGTAAATCCTACAGGCGGATTGTAGGTGAGGTAGATGTACGCCGGCCTTACCCCTATCGAGAACGGTAGAGAGGTTGCTTCCAAAATAACAAGTGAACTAATCATTGCATAAATTAACAAATTCTTTCATTAAAATTATCTGATACTCCGTATAAGGCTATAAGCAATTAAGTAAAAAAATGGTCTGGGAGGGGGGGATTTTTTTAAATTATACTCAAATTCATATTATATTTTTCAATAGTTTATTTTTTACGTTAGGAAATATTTGAAGCTAATTCACTAGTCTTCAATTTATCTTATTACTATTAAAAATGGCATATTGACATTCATTAAAGCACCAAACCCTAACCAATACCCCATATTAAACAAATTACAAACAAAGAGAGAAAATTAAATGGGTTGAGCCCAAGAACTCTAACATTATGTTTGGTTCAAGGAATTTGAAAGGGAAAAGAAAAGAAAATGAGATGGAAAACATTTTCTTCTATGTTTGGAGAGAAAAAGAAAAGAAAAGTGGAAGGAAAAGAGAATGAGAAGGCAAAATGTACTAAGAGAAGGAAAATTAAAACTCTTCTCATTTTAGTGAGGGAAATGAGAGAAAACCATTTTCTTTTCCTTTCCTTCCAAATTTTTTGAACCAACAAAGTGGAAAGGAAAAAAAAGAAATTGGTATGGTAAACAAGTTTTCTTGTTTGGTTAGAAGGGAAATGAAAATAAAAGTGAAAGGAAAAGAAAATGAGAGGAGAAAATAAACTAAGAAGAAGAAAACAACTTTCTTTCCATTTTGGAAAGGAAAAGGATAAAAGAAACCTTTTTTTCTTTTCCTTTCCTTCAGAATTCCTCTACCTAAACATACCGTTACGTGATTCACTAAGATTTAATCAGTACATCTTGCAGGAAGAAATAAGGAAGCAGAAAAATGGACACCACATCAACAAAGAGATGCGATTAGCCAGAGAAATGAGCAACTACAAGAGGATGGCAGTAAAGGGACCACGCGCAACCTGCTAGGTGAATAGATCTGGGCGCACAGTGCACCAATGGTGCCGGAGGCTGCACATCTTCACATTACAGTGAATTTGGCAATCAGGTTATTACTATCAACTCAATAGATAAAGAAGAGATCCACACAATATACGTTGTGATTCAGTACCAAAACGATCCATGAAGTTATTTGTATTGTTTTGAACATATCTCATGATGAATCCAAATAAAATGGCATCAAATCATATGATTCTAAGTTTCTAACTACAATGCCAACATAGACATCTATGGATTGTCTTTTTTCAAAGCACAGAAAAAGCTAAATCTTATGATTATTTTAGGTCAGAGGAAGTGCAAAACAATTCACCTGACAGAACAGCATCACTGGAATTTGACAAAGGGGCTTCAATAGGTTGTGAAAAACTGACTGCATCTATTGCCGGACTGTTAGAATGGACAGCAGCCTGAGAGATTCCAGCATGTCCATTTCCACTTGTTGCTTGAAAATGGCTTTCACCTGCAAGTAAAACCATTGAGATGAATGGATTCAGAAAAACAGAATCACTATCACTATTAAATAGAGATCTTACTTTCATGACTTGTAATATTCAACCCAGTTGTTTGGATATTTCCATCACCCCTCCAAGTTGCATCAGTAACCCTAGCAATGGTAGTTGCAGGATCATGAACCCCCTAAAATTTTGTGATAAAATTAGAATGCGAAAAACGACAATACATATAAAAATTAGTACATATGAGCATAGAAGATAATTACCACATGCTCAATAGTTTCTTTAACAAATGGATGGTCAAGAAGATCAGGCCAGCTAAGTCGATTGTGTGGCACCTGCTTCATGGTTTTAACAACTAAATTTGTCAAGTGCCAATAGAAGAGAAGTTGTTTCAAAGATATGTCTATTTTCTTAGTAGACACAGAACCTTGTTAAGCAGCCCCTTCAGAAAACTTTTAAAGTTTGCAGACATATTATCGGGATATTTAACTGGATCCTGAAAAGTAACAACCAAGATAAAATTACTGATGTGTTTTTTCTTCGTGCTTAAATATGATGAGCTGGGTGAGATTACTTACCTTAATAATGTGTCTGACGAGTGCGTACACTGAATTTGTATAAAATGGAGGCTGGCCCACAAAAAGCTCATATCTGTCAAAATGTGTAATATAATAAGAAGGTGAAAGAAATTGGCAAGTGAGGATGCTGGTGAGGAATATATTTCATTAAATGTGTTTATATAGACCTTGACCAAAAGTTTTATGTAAGCAATAATGGTTACTGTATATTCTGCTTAGCGTTATTATTTTATATGAGTCTCACTAACGAGAAAGTGAGATGGCTAACATGTTTTGTTTCGCAGTAAACACAACTGATAAATTTAAATATTCATGGAAGATGATGCAAAATAATTTTAGTGCCAATAATACTCCGTAATAGGTAGAGGCAAATATATTGATGCAAGTATACTGGCTTTGCGCCATAATTGTATATTTGATGAAGGAGACGTTGCATACAATATGACACCTAGCGACCACAAATCAGCAGTGTGGTTGTAGGGTTGTTCTCGTACCAACTCTGGAGCCATATACAATGGAGTGCCTACAACAAGTTCACCAATAAGGGATCAAGGAACCAGAGAAAAACAAACATCATCAACTAGTAAAAACTAGAGAAACACTCTGTAGTTATATATTGATGAAGGCATGAAGCAAATTTCACCTTTTATGGATCGTAAGACAACTGTGTTTGTGGACATAGCTCGAGCAAAACCAAAATCGCAAAGCTGTTGAAATTAAGAAGAATGAAAAGAAAAGAAAAGTAAGAATGCATTTACTTTTCTAATTATACAATGACAAAGAATATGAAGCAACTTGGATTAATCAAAGAAAATCAACTCACCTTGACTATAGATCCAGCACCGATTAGAATATTTTGAGGCTTCATATCACGATGGATAATGCGGTTTGAATGCAAATAATGTAATGCTCTCACCTACAAGTAGTATGAGAAAGCTCATAAAACAAGAAAATAGTTTCAAGATCGCATTAAGTGTACAAGGCCTTGGAAAGACAGCGAGCATTGTTAATTTAACTTCCTAGGCCAAGGGTAACACTAAAATTCTAAAGTGAGTCAGATACCAACTGCTTGGCAATTGCTTGAACTTGTTCTTCAGGGAGGCACTTGTCATCTTCAATAATTTCAAAAAGTTCACCCTGATATAGAATAAAAACATGGTGAAATATTCGTCATAAATACACATCTTTCATCGCATGTACAGAAGGTATTTTCTAACATGAAATATATGAATAAGCTCAACTGCATCTATGCAAGTAGAAGTCGAAGAAATGATAGATAAGAACGTTTAGATAGAGGGCTCCAATAACCTGCGCAAATTCTGTCACAACACAGAACTCTTGTGGACTTTCAAATGAATCTAACATCTCAATTATGTTTTCATGCTTTAGCTTTCTGAGAATCTGCAACAAGTGAATCACGTGTATGACTATATGAGCTATACGATGTAGCTTAGTATCTAGCCAAGTAGCTAGACAATTGACCGTTTTGTATGATACTAAAATGTTGTTCAAAGTAGCAAACACTTTATCCCATAAAAGAGCCCAGTTTTTCAAACGTACAACTTTTAAATTCTAGTAAGGTACAACTGATGTAAATCATTCCTAGATTTTTTAAATTTATTTGTTGGTTACAGTAAATTTAACACTAGACTTCTTTTGGACACTTTTTTACAATGCCAAAAGATTAAATATGATGAAATCAAGCTTCTTTGGTTCAAAATAAACTATTTTTGTGGCAATAATAGGTTTAGAAACAAGATTCTTTTATGGAAAGGAGGGGTGACAAATTTAATCAAACCAAAAGGCTAAGACTTCACAAGTACAGAAGGAGGGAGTAACAACTTTTAATGAGAATCATCACTGCCCAATTTGCGTAATCTAGACTACATTATCCGATCAAAAGAGTAAGACAGAGCAAGTACAACAACGACAACATTACCCCAGTATCTCAAAGGCTCCCGCCCATTGCGGGTAAGGGGGTCGAATATACACAACCTGACCTCTATGTTAAAAACTAAAGTGGCTATTTCCAAGACCCATGATGAGCGTAAGTTACATTGACTTATTGCTATTTAACTATAAAAGATGTTCAGACAGTTTAAAGAGCCATTTTGCTTCATTCCATCATACCCCAAAGCCAAAAGATAGTAAACTTTAATGAGAATTATCAACTACAAGTTTATGTAACCTAACATACACAATCCAGTTATCACATCATTATCCATAAGGAAAAGTCATGGACACTTATTGGTCAAAAGTGATCGAGTGCATTGCCGTATGGAATACCTCAATTTCCTGCCTCAAGTTGTGGATATCCTTGTCACTTTTGCCGTGTTTTGGAATAAATTTCATTGCAACAGTCTAAAAAATTACCACCAAATTTAGTAGAGTTCATACCAATAGTAGTCATAACAACTAAGAAAACAGCCATAAGCGATCCACGAGCGGGGTGTTGAATAACAAGAACACTATAAACGGAATACCTGGCCTGTAAACTTTCGCCTCCCTTTGTATACCTTCCCGAAGGATCCCTCCCCTACAAGCTCTATAACGTGGTAATTCTCCACACCCATCTCTTGCAACCTATTAAGCGCGGAGACGCCAAAACTTAGGTAATAACCCTAGTCGGCAAGACACCCCTACCACGGAGTGGAGCTTTTTCCGGCGGTGGCGAGATGTTATTCCGGCGATGTGGATGGGCTATAGGACTCTAGGAGGATTATTTTTCTGCAGAGAAGAGTGAAATTTGAAAGGGATGGTAGTGGGGTAGTAGGGCTACTGCCGCTCGCACAGCCTCATTCCCTCTACGGCTCTACTCCCTCTGCCTTTGTTTGCTTACTCCATTTTTCCTTCTTTCATTCTTCCAATTTGAAATTCAAATATTGAGATTGATTATTAGAAGAATAGTGATATTTGTATTCCAATGATTTGTGTTTTATTTTGTACACCGAAGGAATGCAGCAACATTTTGTGTTGGTGTAATACTAATTTTTGTTAACGCACCAACACTTTGTGTCAGTGTAAATTTTTGTTAACGCACCAACACTTTATGTCAATATGAACCATCAAAATGTTGGTGCATACCTTTAGTGTACAAACAGTGTACAAATTTTAGGGTACATGTAGTATGCTCCTTATAAGAAATCACCCGAACAAAAGGTGGGGCTCAGTTGACACACACCTGCATTGATTATAAGAAATCACCCGAAGAAATGGTGGGGTTGAGTTGACACACACGGGCAGTGTCAACGGATACACTTACCTACTTTAGGATATTTCTCGTGTTCAGTTTGTAAAGTTGATGATTCTTATTCCTAATCAATTCTCTACCCCGGTGCCATCCCCTGCCCACCCACCCCAACCTCCCCCAAAGTCCTCATCCAAATGTATGGCTATTATACAATTCTATCAATGACTGGTCTTACTCAGTGGCGGATCCAAGAATTCGGGTAGATGGGGGCATAATTGGTCGGGGATCTCGGGGCCGCGCCCTGGGATTTTTTTAAATAGACAATATGGAATAACAAAAAAATTATTATTAAATTCTATTTTAAACATTTATTGAATGTAAAATATTGTTTAATACTCCCTCCGTCCCTAAATAGATTACAATTTTTTTCTCTCTCTCCTCTCGATAACTTTTGTTTGTTTACGCGATTTCATTAAGGATTTGATAAAATAAAATATTCTTCTCACCTCTTATTTAGTAGAATTTTTGACGTAGTTTTTTCATATGTAATTTTTATATCTTATTGATATACCAATTTGTAAATAAAATGATTTCAAAAAGTAGAAAATTTCACTCCGTAACCCGCAATTTGTAATCAAATTGGGGACGAAGGGAGTATGTAATATAAAATCTTATTATAAACAATAAATTATATTAAATAAAAGACACTTCAATAAAATTAAGCAAAAACTAAAAACTAGCTTAACTATATAAGATTCTACTCTGTATTAATTTTTGTTGGGAGTACATAATTTTAGATGGGGTCAACCCCAATTTAGATAGGGGCATTCAGTCCAAAGTATAGTTTTTTTTTTCAAAATAAAAAAAAATGATTTAACACCAAAATTTAGTAGGGGGCATTGGCCCCCATTTGGTTCTAAGTACATCCGCCACTGGTCTTACTCTAATTCTATTACCTATGGTTGTAAGCGTTTCTGGTATCTTCGTGACAGAGACCATAAGTTTCAATTTACTTTTCCCTTTTGTGTTACCTCGAGCTACATATTCCTCTAAGGCTCTGTTCCGTGTGCCTGATCTGATTGAATCTGATCTTAATTTTTGAAGTTCTGATTTGATCTGATTGGCTCTGATCTGATTGGATCTGATCTGATCTGATTAGTTCTGATCTAATCTGATTAGGTCTGATCTAATCTGATTGGATCTGATCTGATTAGATCTAATTTTATCTAATTACATCTAATGTAAATGAATTTAAATTTGATTTAAATTAAACTTAAAATTATTACATAATTTAATAGGTTTAAAGTATTAAAATTCATATATACATAAATATATTTAAACTTTTTTTTTTTTGAAATATTAAACATCTTTTCAATATTTTTTTAAATTTTGTGCAAACTAAATAGTCGGTATTAAAATAACCAAATATTAGAAAATATAGATGCTATTCTACAAAAATATCACATTCTATATGCATATTACATAATAATATATTTCATGTTACAAATTAAAGATCATATAAAATTTTAAACACTAATATCCCTTTCACCTATATCAATTTTGTCATAAACTCACTCTTGCGTATATTATATCATCTTAAAGTTCAAAAGTAAGTCTCATAGACTATAGGTATTGTGATATCTTAATCTGTACGTAGGTGCATATTATATCGATAATATGTGACTGGATTGACCCATCTTGAGAATACTGCATGGATCTACAGTAATGTGTTTATCAGTATTCTCAAATTGACCTTGCTATAACTATTCTTAGACTTGAAGTTATTACATTCTCTGGTATGTGGGGCCGTATGCTTTGATTCATAACTAATGCTATCTGAAATACTGGTAGACGTACAGTTATGCGTTGGGTATGCCGCTAAGCATATTTAGAGATGTGAATAACAGATACAGGATCTGTCCCTTATACTGTATAGAAGTATAATGTCAATGTGCCCACTGAATAGTAGGACTTGGGAAAGTGCATGGCCATGCCCAGATATGTCGCTATCTAGAGACTGATAAATATCTGATCCCTGCCAGTCTACTTGAGATTCAGTAACAGCTGATTTAACTATACAAGGATACACATCCCATGCCTTGTGTTAAATCATGACATTTAGGACAGAAGGATAATAGTTATAGAANATGTAATTCTCTTCTTTACCTCAATATTCTTTTCTCTCGAAAATTATAAGAAGAAAAGAAGACGAAGTCCGTTCGTGATGGAGAATCCTAAGGAAGACGTGATGGGCCGGAGATAGAGATCTCTTGATCAAGGCGCTGTCGTTTGTTTTTCTTTAGGAGCCACAATCATTTCACGTTTACTTATTATGCATGTGATGTATGATTGAATGTATGCATGTATGTGATTTTCGCTAGTGCATGCGCGCGGTGTATGCCATAGGCAAGACTACGTAATCAATCCCTCATAATTTTAAGTCTGTGCCACCCCGACGCCCCGTCACTCGTCAAACCCAATTTAGATCGGTAACGGACTCACCCAAGTGAGACGCTCGGTTTACGTTGGTTAGGCGCGAAACCCGTAACTAGGGTACTGACTCGCCCCGGGTTAGTCTTAACTAAGTCTTGGTCATATGGATGAGAGACTTAAGGCACTGCGGTAGGATCAATAAATAAAATCAGATCATCCAACCAGAGTTGTAACTTGTTACAATTGGAATCTATTCCTACCAGAAATAATTTAACTGTAGGGCAAGATGCAAAGCACAACTATAGTTAAATGAAATATGGATCTTGGCCTGCTAGGGTATTCTTCTCACGAAGAAACCCCAAGTCAATAGGTTCCGTACCTGAGGGTAATTGACTTGTTAGAAATAGTGGGAGAGTATTTAATAAAGACCTATTAGATACTTAATTCATGATAATAACTATCTTCGCAAAATTCTGTAGATGGCAAACAACAACACAAACAACCACGCCCTGCGTTCCATTCTGGATAAAGATAAATTGAACGGAACAAACTTTGTTGACTGGCAACGCAATCTCTCCATTGTTCTCCGCATGGATGAGAAAGAGTATGTGCTCGAAAAGCCCATTCCTCCTGCCCCTCCCGCTAACGCCCCGAAAGCAGTTAAAGATGCCTACGAGAAACACGTTAAGGATGATAACCAGGTTAGCTGTGTCATGCTGGCAACCATGATAACCGAGCTGCAAAAGCAGCACGAGGACATGAAGGCCCACGAGATGATCGTGGCCTTGCGGCAGCGATACCAGGGGCAATCCAGGCATGAACGTTTTCTTGTGAGTAAGGCTCTCTTTAGTTTCAAGCTCTCTTCAGGGAACCCGGTCGGTCCACACGTTCTCAAAATGATTGGTTACATAACCAATCTGGAGAAACTCGGGTTTTCCTTGCAGAAGGAGCTGGCAACGGACCTGATCCTGCAGTCGCTCCCTGAGCTGTATAAGGGTTTTGTCATGAACTACATGATGCATGATCTTGACAAACCCCTTCTGGAGCTTCTTAAAATGCTCCAGACTGCAGAGGAGAACCTTACTAAGGGCAAGGGTGCTTCCGTCCATATGGTCCAAGGCAGAAAGGGGAAGCTGAAGAAGGGGATTAAGATTAAGGCTAGGACGGTCGGAAAGCCTAAATCAAAGTCCACTTCATCTGCAACCCAGAAACCCGTAGGAGGGATTGCAAAGGGCAAATGTCATCACTGTGGTAAGGCAGGCCACTGGAGGAGAAACTGCAAGACATACCTCGCAACCAAGAAGAAGGAAGGTACGACCATTTCTTCTGAGGTGTATGTTATAGAAGTTAACATGTCTATATCTTCATCATGGGTACTAGATACTGGATGTGGGTCTCATATCTGTACTACCATGCAGGGACTGAAGCAGAGTAGACGGTTAGCTCGAGGCGAGATTGAACTCCGAGTCGGCAATGGTGCACCTGTTGCAGCTTTGGCAATCGGAACTTATAGTTTAGTCTT